ATGGGAAAAAAGCGAGAGAATAAGAGCAAGGTCTTCATGTTTCCCTTTCCAGAAGAACATATTTAGAGGTCAGAGTAGCCAGCATAATTGATTCCTGCCAGAGGCAATATGAATTTATATGTTTACCCTTGACTTGACTTTTAGCCTATATTTATTTAACCATTAAACTTGTTGTAACGGTTTCTTTTGACCATCCCCTTGGCAGTCTCATTGTTGACACACTTCACTTCTTCTGCATTTGAAGTCATAATGGCTGGAAATATTTTTGAAAGAATGCATGTAGGCTACAACTAAATACTGTGTCACTCTGAATCCAAGCATTAATGCTTTCTCAGTTAAAGCAAGCGTTGCGTAGCATAAGGTGTATTTCCTCATAGGGAAGTTCAGAATAAATATTTAAATTGTAATTTTGACATTAGCTGCAAAATGCAAACTTAATGTTTTAAAGATGTAATTAAGGGTGTTAAGAGAGACGAGTTGATTTTAAGGTGGCCCAGAAGACAAATTAAAGGAATCCAGTTACCTTTTCTTGAAGGGGAGAGGGATCAATGTTCAGAACAAGAATTTTGAAAATGAACAGGCTAAGCTATCATTCCCCCAGAGATCCTGTATTTAATATATCTGCTTTGTTTTTCAAGTATTTAATTTTAAAATGTTTTAGAATTTGTCAGAATTCTGTTGTGTTTGAAGACAAGGCAAAATTACAATGTCAGCAGAGGTCATTTACTGACGCAGAGGTCCAGTAACATACTGTAGGGAGGAGCATGTGTTCCCCAGCAGTGTGGAAATGGCTGTAAAATACCCTGTCCTTCCAACAACTCTCTTTGAGCAGAAATACTTTTTTTTTTTTTTTTTTTAAATCTAGTGAGGATAGGCTGTGGTCACTGAGTAAGGTTTCAGGATTAGTCCCTAAGTCACATCCCCTTAATGAAGTAAGAAGCAAGGCAACTAGAGGTTAGATGCTTGAGAGTTAAATGTTTTAATCCCCAGCGTCCGGGTGGTTACCCTTCAGCATGGAACCAGTTCGCTGTTGAAGCTTCCTGTGCTCCACAGTCACAGTCCAGTGCCTGCTCCTGAAGGCAGGCATGTAAACCTTCACTTTCAAAAACAGAGCATAGGTCACTCTTCCTCTCAAAACATCTTTCTTGTAAAGACCTGCTGCTGAGTGGGTTACCTGTAATTTACATAGTAGTTTAACAGCTAAGGAACTCACAAGGATGCTGGAGAGCTGCATCTGTTGTTTGGTAATTGCTGCCTCTAAGTTATGGCTTAGCAGAGAACACCCTCGTTCTTTGCTTAGGTGGAGATCGTTTCACTGTCTAGATGATAGTCCAAACAGAGGGCGCACAAGTAGCATGCCAAGTGCTGTACTGTATTAACCAGCCTTTGGGTACATGAACAATCACTCATGGGTTTGGGTCTGGCCCAGCCTCAGTCCCTTTTCCTTCTCAACGTGCTCTGCACACATACTCTGTTTTCCTTGTATTCTTAGACACCTTGTTTGGAAGAACACCAAGTTTCAGGCTCCCACAGAGACCTGGACATGCAGTTATTCAGGAATCTCAAATCTCTGTAACTTGTGGATATGTGCAGAAGCAGCCTTCATGCTAGGGGAACTTTGAGAGACCCTGAAAAAGCTCACATGCCTTTGAAGAAGACAGTTTGGTGACAGATGGGCAGAGCCTTCTAGGAAAGGGGTTTTGATTTGAGGACTGGTCAAAGACAGGGGCATTGGAGTAATTTAAAAGTTACTGGTTTCTCAATTAAAAGCAGCTGTTCCTCAGCAGAGGGTAATCAACCATTTGTATGCCACTGTGCCCTTGCAGGGCGCAGCCTGAGCAGGTGTCACTGCGACTGGTGGTGGCTGTCCTGTGTTGCGTGGCAATGCATACCTGTCAAGATTGCACATCACCCCCCCGCTTCTGTTTTCTGGCCCTAGGGAATCTGGCATTAGTTCCCAGAGCAGACTCAAGATGGCTGTATCAGGGACCAGTGCTCCCTGTACGTTCCTCTCAAGAGTCGGATACCTTCTGATGGGAATCCATGTCTTGTTCTGGCAGTCATTAACTCAGAATTGGGAAGAATCTGTTTGAATAGCAACTGGGTGCACAAGTCTTTTCAAACCTGCAGTTTTTTTGCACACTTCCTTGTTCTGGCTGACAAACACTTTAGTTATGACATTAAAAGTGGAAGAGTGTCAGCCAGAGGCCATGGTGCTACGGGGACTTGCTGAGGGGCAGGCTGTTAGGGGTTGCACAGCTGTGAGGTTGAGAGCGTAGGCAGTAGTAACACGCTGGGTGCTTTCCAGCAACTGCAGCAGTCAGAGAGACTGCTTACTTTGGGATGAGTAACTTGATGCTTCAGTATTCTTTGCATTTCCATCACTATTCCCTCCCTGTACACACACCAAGTATAAAGGCATTTGCAAATTGCATCCAGGATCAGCAGATGCACTGCACCTCTCTTGTAATATAATCGCTATTGGCAATTGAAACAGAAATATCACTACAAAACAGCAAGAAGACCCCAGTGACTTCTCTTCTGCTTTGTGAGGACTGCCTGTATGTGTGGAGTTCTGTCTGGTATTACATGCTGCTGGACACTGGTGTGCTTCTGCTGCTGTTTACTGTCCAAAATGTAAAGACTGAAAATGCTGTGATTTTGAAGGGTCTGTGGCTGTAGTTTCAGGAGATGTGTTTTGTTGTGGGTTTTTTCCCCCAATAAACTAACATGAAATTTGTTGCCTCAGGAGAGCAAGTCAAATGAATTTATGAGAGGCTGTGCACTGTCGTATGGCAACATTTCAGCCTTATGCTTGGGGAAATTGACTGCAAGGATGAGGAAGCAGAGCCATGTATCTGTAGTGGTTGTGGCTAGGTTTCTCGTCCCATTGCGTTCCACTGAAGCATGAAATACTGACTAATGCTGGAGACAGGATATTGAGCTTGGTGCAATCATGTAGGTGCTTCTCAGAGCTTTTGCTTCCTAAAAGGTGAATTAACTCGCTTATTATAACACTTCTATTGTAGTCCTTATAATTAAATAATGTAATAAAAATGTTGTGTGATGTATCCATAATTTCGCATTTTGGCTTACAAAGGCAAGCTTAAACCCGTAACTCCCTCCTGCTGTGTTTAGGAGCTGGCAGACAATTTAAAATGCTTTGTCAGCAAAGCAAAACAATTAGAACTTTCTGTTGCACTAGGATGTTTTTTCTGTAGCTTTCAGCTTTACATACCCACCCTTATCCTGTTCTAGCTTCATGTCAAGACAAAAGTTGGTTGTAAACCTCTTCACACTGTTGTTTTGTTTTTTCCAGGAGGGAAACTGGTGTTGGGATTTTAAGGGAGCTATAGGATGCATAGGAGACATTGAAACTACTTGGTACTAGACCAGGTGTGAGCAAAGATATGAGAGGATGTACTGAAGTGCTGTGCTTACAGGGTCAGAACATAGCAGATGTACCACTGAGACTACCTCTATATTAATTAAAAAGATAAAAATGGTGCAGGCTAAGGACAGCATTCTCTGGCTTCTGCTGCCAAGTGGCAGGGTATGGTTCTTGTCCACAGTGGCTAAACTGCCATCCCTCTGCCAAAACCTGGGTGCCCTCATCCAGCCTGCCTGCTGGGAATGGTTCTGGCACCAGCTTCATCCTGCATTATCCAGGAGAGTGCGAGGTGGCCTGGTCCAAAGCTCTGAAATGTGCTAATTGTTAAACAATATGGCTGGTATTGGGGTCAGTGCCTTAACGCTGTCTTACTTACTAGTAGTCATTTAGCCTAGCATATGTTAGCTTCCTGACAGATTTATTTATTTATTTATTTACACATAACCATAGAAATGCTGGTTGGAAGGGGGCTTGGGAGATTATCTAGTCCAGCTTCCTGGATGGAGCAGAATGCAGCTGTCTGAGAACTAGTGAGTCCTGAAGGTAGCTGCAGGGAGTTTAAAAGTTCTGTTTCAGTGAGGAACATAATTTTTTTTTCTTGCTTTCAGTGGGATTTGGCAGAACCCTGTGGTAGTCCATAGTGCTATGCTGTGTCTTCTACTCAGCAAGTCTTGCATGTCATCAATACTAGACAAACTGTTGCCTGGATAGGTATCAGCGCTGCTTGCCTCTGCAGTGCTGCAGGTGGCATTGTGGAGGCAGTGTGTCCTCTGAGCAAGCTCCAGCTGTCTTAGGTCTCCTCAGTTAGTTAGGGGTACACTTTCTACTAATTACACGCAGTTCATGTTCTATTTCTACTTCTGCTGCTAAATTTCTGCTTGAATACTTTATTTATAATCTTCTGTTCAAACTCAGGAGTATATTTGGCATCTCATTTCCTAATGTGGGAAGGAGAGAGTTTGGGAGGCAATTGGTGTTTCTGACTGGAGTGGGGAATTTCTGAATTCCAGGCATTTATTGAGCACTAAATTGGTATATGGTCTTTGTGACTCCATTGTCTTTTATCTGTCTGTAATATTGTAATTATTGTGTGGATTTCTTTATAGGAGTGATATGAACACTGATTAGATCACACATACTTGGCAGTGGGAAGTGTAGTGTTCAGAATGATTTCTTCATATTTAATTTCATCCCTGATTGGGAACATTTCTTCCTCCCGTGGCAGCCAAGGGAGGGGACCAAGTGAGTGAAAAGAAACTCCCATTTTTTCCTTGTTTGAAATGTCACAACATAGCGTAGAAATGCTATTGACATCAAAATGGGAAAAATACTCCCTGAAAGCAGTCTGTTAGACATTATTCTAGCAAAATAACCGTCTCCATACGTGTCAAGGTGGAGTATGACTTCTGATGGTTTTTTTCTTTCATATGGCTTCACTGTCTCCTAATTATATCTAATCTCATACTAAATGGTTATTCAAGTCCAGAAGTGGCATCTTATTGGTACTTCTAAGTAAAAATGAATTTGAAGATTACGACTGCATATTCTGTGGTTGGATGTTGCCATTATCTCTCTTTCTGTTACAGGTGCATGTGACAGCATTGCAGCAATGAGTGGAATTTTAAAGAGGAAGTTTGAAGAAGTTGATGGCTCCTCACCATGTTCCTCTGTGCGGGAATCAGATGATGACATTTCTAGCAGTGAAAGTGCTGACAGTGGTGATAGTGTCAATCCATCTACTTCTAATCATTTTACCCGTAAGTACTAAAGTTGTGTATCTAAAGTTTTATTTGTGTTTTTATTTCTTCTCAATTTTATTCCCCAAAAAAATATTTCTTCTCAAAATACAATAATTTTTATGATTAGATAAACATGATGATTTTAAATTGAACAGATGATAAAAAGGAGACTGTGGCATTCAGTTTGTGAGTTGCTCAAAATGACTTAGCAAACTTGCACCCTTTTGTCTTCTTGTTAACTATATAAAACTATTTGTCATTGTAAAAATTTTAAGTCACTTTGAAGCCTCTACCTGTTTGCTGTTTGAATGATGTAGCTGTTTGTAGTTAATGTTGGGAGTTGTGCTTAAGGTGTTTCTATTTCAAACAGGTACTGTAGGGAAGGTGCTTTAGGGAACTTTAATTTCCTTGGATAAGTGTAGTGCAGCTGTCAGCTATCTGCATATTGTATTGGTGAGAGTTCTCCAAAGAGGATAATAAGCTTTCTTTTATTTGGAATTGAGGAACATTGTGTATGTGACACATTGTTGCAGTAGTTTCTGTTCTTCATGTAGGGGAGGTTATCTCTGTACTAGGCAATGGTTTTGTGTATGCATAAGAATTTGGTTTTAAGTTAGCAAAGCCACGTGTGCAGCATATATATCTAGGAAGAATTAATTTAGGGTTTATATTTGTAGTTTATGATACTTGTTTTAGGTGGTTATACTGTTTTAATAGTCAACTGTGTGTGTTTTAAAAAGCAGGGGTTTGCCTCTGTCAGCTCTGTTGCATGCAGATGTCCCCACTAGAGTCAGTGGCTATGAAGCGATTTTCTTAAGACTGTGGGCCAAGGAGTAGGTGAGGCTCCTCATCACTGCCCGTGCACAATGTGATCCGTGTGACTGTGTGGTTTAGATTGTGCCTAGAAATCATGTTTGTAGCATGTGATATGAATGTTCTTATAACTGATTGTCTACCAAATGCTGCTGTGCAGTTCGAGCTAAGGTTTGGATGTGAAGGTCTTGAATCCTCTTTGCTCTAGTATGGAACCCTTCTGTGCAAAGGCTTGCATAGGCACAACTTTTACAATGCATTTGCATATAACAATCGATGCGGTATATCATATTTAAGATGCAGTACTAGTAGGGGAACTATTTTATTGAAGTGCCACGAAGGAGTAAGTGACCCTATAAATCTCCTTGGTAATATTAAGAAATAGCTTGGTCGCAATATTATCTGCATGCTGATCTTTTAACTTTTGCATTGTGTAAGGACTTAGATGATTATTCATCATAGACGGAAAGCAGTCCTTTTACATCAGTCATTGCCACGCACATAGAAGACAGCAGTTTTATTGTGAATACACGGACAACACAAAGAAGGCTTGTAATTCAGGGGAGTAACTTGGAAGTTGTAATACATGCATGTAACAATAAACTTTGATTGTAGTTGACACAATAAATAATTTAGGTTTCGAATAAAATCTGTAAGGGAAACAATAGCATTTCAGTGTTACGATTAATGATCCATGTTACTGAGATATTTGTGGCCAGACTAATAAATACTTATTTGTGTGTGCACTCACACATGCACATATATAGAAATTGTGCATATTACATTTTTTTAAATACAGATATATATCAGTTGGCAATATGGAAATAGGAAGAGTAAATTGTTTGCATGTCCATTGATACTACTTTTTAAAAAGTATTGTCTTTAATATAGATGCAGCAGCCTAAATTCCAAGAAATCAATACAGAATAATCCCAGTATTATATAAAACTGGTTTGGGACGAAAAGAATTGACCAGGTAGCCTTGGTGCTATACTGAATAGGCAAATCCCAAGGTCCTCAAGGAAAAGACTTGTGTCCAGACTAGTTTCTATGGCACTGGAACATGGCATCTTTCAGTGTCTGACATTCTGCTTTGCTCTTAGTTTAATACAGTGTACTTGCAGGAGCTTGATAAAGGTGGTAATTTTTTATTGGTAAGGAAACAGAGGGTGTTGATGCTCAGATGAAGAATACAATGGAAAAGTGGTTTTATCCCTACCTAATTACTTGCATCTTGCATCCAGACACTCTTCCAGAGTGCATCGTTATTTTGCAGTAAGGACACTCCATGTTGCCTCTCATGGGGAAGTTGGATTTTGTTAATTTATTGTTAAAATGCTGCAAATGAAGTTTTGTACCTTGTACTTCTTTCTTAATATTAAAGCATATGAGTTACTTATGTTTACACAATCGACATCTACCAATTGAGCAGTGTTAGAAAAATCACTTAGCTAGCCTTAGGCACATCTGGTGTATATAAGAGCAACTCTGCACTAAAAAAGGTGAGTCTTTGATATATGACAGTAAAACTTAGTATGTTTGCAATAAAAAAATAATCATGTTTATATTTAGAATAAATGAAAAAGGAGTAAAGATACTTGACAAATGGTAAAAGGTGTTTTAAACTTGATAACTGCCTCTAGAAAAAAAAAACAGGTTTTTTGCTGAGATTGGATTTTTATTTTGTTTTATTCTTCTCACGTTTGTTTGAGTCTTTATGTCCTTTGATTCTGGAAGGGATGTTTTAATTGGACAAGTGGTCAAATTTTTATACTCACAGGATTTGTTTTCATTTTGGTTTGTATCAGTTGACATCAGTGTATGTGATATTGGATGCTCTTCACAGCAGGAGCACTTTTCTTTGTATGTACTTAGATTTTTTTTTAAACTTCTAGATTTTTTTAAACAATATTATTTGAAAAAGCATATTTTGAGTTCTTGGAAGTGGTAAAAAATGAACTGATCCTACTGAGGTACTTGGTCCTGTCTTGTCAAAGCAGAGTATGTGGAAATTGTCAGTGTTCATATCTCATGAGTACAGGTGTCTTACAGAGCTACTAAGTGATGTTTACGTAAAAAAAATACATGCAGATGTGTTGCACAATAACAAAACTGTTAATGGTGTATAGTGAAAGGTGTTTTTTTCATTCTTTAAACACATTTATCTCCCAAAAGAAAAGATAAGAGCTTTCCTGTGTTGGATATTTGAATCCATACATTTAAGAGCATATGGAAAGAAAGAGTTCTGTGAGACTTTTTCAGTAAATAGAATGAAAAGAGCCAGTGCAGAAGAAAGGCTGGCCAGATTCCTCGCCTGTGTTACATGCCTGAGTACCTCCTTGATGGAGGTTATCTTTCTAAGACATTTCCTGACACTTTGTACCATTTTCTTTCCTCTTTAATGAGACACTGTCAGATCCTGTCTCTGGTCTTCCTTCTGGTCCATTTTCATATAAGTAGATCTGAAGTTCAGTATAAATTCTCTTTTACTGACTGGAAATGTGCAGGTTTTGGATGACCTGTAGTCAACATCAAGATCTAGGTATTAATTCTTTAACTGAGCTTTTAGAAAAAGCCTGACATGGCCCTCTGTCTTATTTTTCCTTTCTAATTGACCTGACTAAGAGATAATTTTTTAATGACTTGTAGCTACAACTCTTTCAGTGCTTCAGTGAGCAGGCAGTTTGCGTATAGTTCTATGTAGACTAGCTCATGCATCTCAGTATTTACAGAGCCCTTGAAACAACATGTGTTGGGTCAGATAAACAAGAACTTTTCAGCTATCCTGCTCCATTAGCCTTAAGGTCAGTTTAACCTGCCAGCTAAATGAGGCACACAGCTGCTGTGGATCATTCAGGTGGGGCAGAACCACCAGAAGATAGCTTTGATCTCAACAATTAACCCTGTAGTGTGATGGCAGAAAATACATGACTGAGATATCCCTAAGTGCTATCCGTTGTCAGTACTACATGGGGATAAGTACAGTTTCTTTAACAATATATCCATTTAAATAAATCAAGGCAGCAACAATAACAACAAAATCCCTAGTGTAGGTTACAGATGTCTTTTTCTGAGTCATGAAATGAAATTACAGTCCATAAAGCATAGACAACTGTTACCAGGTTCATAACCAAAAAATAAGCAAATGTAGTATTTTCTTGGTCAGGTATGTGTGTATATACATCTGTGTATTTTTTAAATCTCCTATCAAATGGTGACGCAGTGCCTTCATTACTACTAGCAGATATAATCCCTACCATATTTTTTACTTACTTTTTGCAGTCTATTGAGGTAATTTCAGTTTGATTCAGCAGGCCATTAGTCACACTGCAGATTTGCCTTAATGGATGCCAAAGCATGTTACTAATTGGTCCATGTATCTGTCCCATTTCACGGCCCCTCCTGCATATCAGAGAGAGGGGTGTTCATCTTCAAGTAGCAGTCCAAGCATGCATATACAACATTAGTCAGGACTAAGAGTATTTTTTCCCTTTTTTCCTTAGAGGTACGTGGAATACAGTGCAGTACTACGGTTGTGTGTGCTGGGTTCCACTCTCCAGCTCAGCTGTGAGAGATTCTTCCTGCCCTGTGGAATTACCTGCCCCTAAATGCTTGGTCTATTTTTCTGATAAATAAAAATATCCAAATTTAAGTTGCAGAATTGCATGCAATTGAAAGACCTGGGAAGACCTCATCAAGTCCTGTCTTAGGCGCTTTGGTGCTGGTAAAAACTACCCATACCAGATTAATCACAGACGCATCTCTTAAGAAACATACTTTAAGGAGCTGCTGCTTTCTTCTGCCATTTCAACTTCAGCATAGTATAGCTGAAACTTTCAGAGCAATACCTTTATTGCAGAGGCTTCTTCACCTGCAGAGGCAGGTGGAATCTCCAGCACCATCTCATCTGACAAGGTGGTCAACAGGAGGGAGAACCATCACACAGTCTAGTTGATATCCTCCATCATCTGTCTGTATCTTTCCATTAACATTATCACTGTCATTAACAAGGTTATCCTGTGTCCAGCTGTAATCATAGGTCCTGTCATTCTGCTAGTTCAGGTACTGTCTTTAAGAGTGTTGGATGCCTTAGGTTCATTATGAAGGGTTCTGAGAAAACCCTTTAGTCTCTAAATGCTCTCACCATCTTTCAGTTTTACCGTTAACAAGGAACTTGAAAATACAAATACATCCCCATTGCAATT